ATGTTAATGGAGTCGATTTTTGTGTCAGTGGAAACGCATGGACGCATCGTGTACGCAAGGCACCCAAAAAAACATACCTATGGAAAGGTGCCTATAGGCTGGAGAAAGTGAAACCAGCTTGCATCCCTACGGCGTCCTAGCCACGCCCTATGTACACCCTCTCGTCACCCCCAATCAGAAAATTGTAACCGATATCGTCCCACCTTCGGTTGTGATGAATTTGTCAAGACTCCGCTTAACGCAGCAAAGGTGTGTCATAATGTCAAAGCCTGCGTGACATTTTAGCTGAACAACTCGAAAATATCGGCACAGTAGGGGAAGTGCATCACGGGGATTTCCTAAAAATGTTCAATCAAAGATGGTACTTTGGCTCCTCTAGATTTCTCAGCTAATATAGGTCTAAATTGATAAATTTATTGATAAATATCTTCAAATTAGCTTATTGTTTGGCATTATACAAGGCAAATTTTAACTGTGCCGTCAGTTCTGCAAGTCTACATTGTTGGGAAAGCACACATCACCTGTATTTTGGTAATGTTGGAGTCAATGTGATAATCCTGAATTGCCCGAACGCGTTGCTCGCAGTCGCTAGTCGTGCTGCACGTGGGGCCGGCCGCCGTGTGGTGCACCACAGCGAAGCCGAGAGGACCAGGCAAATACTGGCTGGCGTTCGATTTCTTGGCGAGCCATTCGTCCCAGCTCATGTAGATCACATTGTCCCAGGTAACCCCTGTAGGGTGCAGGCGACGACGACAACAGAAGCAGCAATGACAAATAACAGTACGTCATTCTCACTCTCAGCACAACGGAGACTCGAGCAAAATTTATTCGTAAACGGCTTTAATTACATGTAATTCTCATCATTAACACGAAATAGTTCAGGATGTAAGGCACTTCCACTGAATTTGCTCTTTTTTTCCTTCTCTCAAAAATTTAGAAAACTATACGGTGGCTGATCTCCTCCAGGAATAAACCTTTTTTATTTCACGGCGTTATAACGCCCTATTACGGAGTTATAACTCCCTAATTTATGGAATAATAACGCCCCATTTTAAGGCGTAATAACGCCCTATCACGACGTAATAACGCTCTACGGTGTCCACGCAATAACACACGTGGCTCCACTTATTGGCATAGTATTTACAGTTATACTGTGGCCATCCTTGGACGGTTTGAATATTGCAAGGTATGTGATAAAAGCCCCTTTGTCTGCAGGGAGCAGAGCGTTATTACGCCGCGATTAGGCGTTATAACGCCTTAAAATAACGCCTTAATGGGGCGTTATTACGCCTTAAAATAGGGCGTTATTACGCCACAAATTAGGGCGTTATAACGCCGTAAAATAAAAAAAGTGTATTCCAGGCTCATTTTGTTTCCACTGGGAGTGATGCAATGTGCCTTAATTAGGCTTAAATGCACTGTGGTGTTGAATGTACAAATCATAGAGGTCGGTGTTTGATCAGGCTTTTGAATTGGAGCATGTAGGTATTTGATCGAATTTTAATTTGCATGATTTATAGCGAAACTAGGTCTTGTGAATATTCACCACTCAAAAATTGCAAACTTGTACAAATTATACACTTATTACAAACAAAAAAAGATTAAGACTAGACTGCATCTCTAGAATAATTTTGCCTGCTGAAAAACAGCTTTCCTTAAAACTTATCAACACGCTAGACTTCAGAGTTTGCTCGGATTGTCTTCCTTCGGCTCAAGGTAGTGAGGCCACCTGCGTATCTCAGCGTACAGCGTATCTCCCGGGCAGGACGTGGGGCCAAGTTGACGTACGTCCCGGTGGCCACGCAGCACGTACCTGTCGGTAAGGTAACCTGATTGGACCCCGCACTCCATCAGCTGATGGAACACCCTGAGTGTTCCCTGATCCGGCTGTCAATTAATTAATGGACAAGTTTATTTTGCAAAGATATTAAACGAAATCTAACAGTCCTTTACTTTTTTGGATTAGAATGGAGAAAGGAGTGGGTACGACACAGGCTTTAACATTTTCAATTTCCCTTGTTACAGACAATTTTCAGAATAAGTGGATTATCATTGCTCCGAGTTAAAACATCTCATACAGATCCCAAAGGTTTTCAGCCGGCTGTTTTTTCCAGGATTTGCTCAAGCTTCATCTGAACCCAGCCCTGTGACCTGTGCTGAAGAGAAAAGAAGAAACGTCGTTGTTAAAACACAGTCAGCTGAAGACGAAAAAGAAGTCCACATACCAGAACGCTGCTGTAGTTTCCGATGATTGCAATGCCTTGTGAGTGGTGATTGTAGTAGACAGAGCCGGCATGTGCACCTACGGTGTCCCAGCCTCGCCCTATGTAGACCCTCTTATCACTTCCAATGACAAAATTGTAACCGATATCATCCCAACCTTCAAATATTAATAAACATACAACTGTAATTGTATCACCCCCAACGACACGATGCATGGTGACATTGATAACACCATAAAAGTGCGTCCTGAGCTCTCACACATCCCCACAAAAAGTTGCCACTTGGTATGTATCTTGATCGTTCGTTTTTGTAACAATATCCTGGTATATGTACTCTGATAAAGATCCCTTGCTGCAGTTCTTCGAAAGCATTTGAAATTACCTCTGACTTCCATGTGCAATTTCTGGAACCTGCGCATATCTTCGGAACACTGTTCCAGGGAGTGACAAGGCGGGGTTCGAGTGCCGGTGTGGTGCAGGACGGTATAGTCCACGGGTACTGACATCTCCGTGCGTCTCTTGGGGGGCATGGCCTTCCACTGGGCCCTCGTAACGAAGGTTAGATTCCTACAAGGGGAGTCTGGAAGAGATGGAATTGGTTCATGTACAGTTGAAGCAGAGCTTCAAGTTGAACTGCACAGGGGCACAAGTCCTATCTTCTGATATGGAGACGTGGGAACTCTCCCTCGAGCTTTCGTGTCTTGATTGTAATATTTTTTCGTTAGAGGTAATCTTTAGATACACCAGTGTAAACCTACCTTCAGCAGCATTCATTCCATTTTCTGACATCTTTCCGAATGCGGCATAGAAAATTATGCTCACCACAGACAACAAAAGCATCAGGGCTGGCATGGCTCGCCCCGTGCACACAATGGAGCTGTGTTTGTTGAACTAGAATGAATAATGTACAAGGAAGTACAGCGTAGGCCTAATGCAACCCTTCGTGTTAGGCAGTTTCGGATGTCCCATTGACATTAATGAAACGAGGAAGCCGGGCCTGCAATCTATTGAAATGGCTGTATTTACCCACAGTGACCCCATGACCCCCACCCACGGGAACAGTGTAGCGGCATATATTCCTCGGCAATAGACATCTTCACTAATAATTCATAATCATGCATGCACGCGCACAAGTGGCCTGGGCGGCAGGAAGTGTGAGCCGGCCATTGAAAATGTACAGGGGTGCGACTTTGATGATTATTTTCTCTCAGGTTGTCTGGCTTTGTTCATTTGTTTTCTTCAGAATATCCCATTAAATCGTGTTTGCTATTAATTTCTAGTTTAAGTGGAATTTTTAGTGCTATGTGAAAAGACTTCATAATTGCAATTTTTCCTGTGCGCACGAGATCACCATTTCTTGTGTGGCCTCCTTCCATCATAAGAAGCATAAACTACATCGTTAGTGTTCTAGGAGCCAACTTATGCAAATCAAGGCGCATGTTTGTCTTGATGGCCCGTCCGACCTAGAAGTAGTATGGAGGACGAAAAGTGGTCATCTGCTTTTCTGCTATCAGAGTAGTAGAAAAGCAGATTTTATGTTCTGGTAACATGCAATTTCGACTTTTCTACTTTTCTGCCGCCTCAAAAAGCACAACGAGCATTGTTTGGTTATGCATTTTTTCTATTTTTTCTGCTTTTCTGCTTTAAAAAAAAGCCGATGTTACTTTTCCTATGTTCACTGGTGGCCGAAAAGTGGCCGTCTCCTTTCGAACAGGCAGAAATGATCGAACATTTTGACAACAACCGTGAATTCTACTTTTTTGCTTGTTTGATACCGCAGGAGCAATTTTACATAGGCGGCCGAAAAGTGACCATCTGCTTTTCTGCCTTCCATGGGTCGTGAACTTGGTCGTGAACCTCAGGTTATGACAATTTCCCTTCTTGGGCATTGAAGACGTAAACCAATAATTACAGTCCACCCTATCTTTTATGACGAAAGATTCACGTTTTCCTCGGCCCAAGCAAGCTTGTGTGTCTATTGGATGATAGTTGTAAAACTGGATTTCCTTTGAGATGCTGTTTTCTCTGCCTCACAGGGACACTGATGCTGCCGTATGGGATTGGTCCCCAGAAAGCATGGTTAAGTATTGGTTTCTAAGTCTTCACTCCCCCCAAAACGGAAGTGGTGGTATTACAGGTTCATGACCCCATTCACGGCTCATTGAGGACAGAAAAGCAGATGGGCAGTTTTCGGCCGCCATCAAAAAGAGGAAAGTAAAACTACTTTTGTAGTGGCAGAAAAGCAGAAAAGTGGAAAAGTACATTACAATAAAATGTTTATTCTGCCTTTGAGGTAGCAGAAGAGTAGAAAAGTAAAAAACTGCATGTTAAAAAGACGTAAAATCTGCTTTTCTATTATTTTGATAGCAGAAAAGCAGATGGCCACTTTTCGTCCTCCATAAAGAAGCCACAAGTTTGTGTTCAAAAGTCGCGTGAAGGTACTCTACGATTTTGGATTCAAAACTGCAGTTTTTGGCCAAGTGAAAAAGGTGTGTTGCTGCTACGTGTAGCAAAACTACTAAGCATGGTGTGAGTTTACTCTTGTTTCCTACCGATCCCACCTTAAGGAAAATTTGGGCAGCAAAAGTCAAGATCACCAGGGCGAAGTACTCGGCCCCGTGCAGTGATCACTTTAAGCCGACGTGTTTCTTTGCTCGTCGCCCAGTGCCCGAAGAGGGCGGGGGGAAGGGCTAATGGTTTTGCACAATGGCTAAATTGTGCACGACCTGTATGTGACCACGAGGTCATCACTTCCTGTTAGCGAAGTGCTGTTTGTTAAATTTTTGGATTGCCAGTGGAAATACCAATGACAAAGTGTCGGCTCTATGAAACAAAATGGCTTCGGAACAATCACAGTGTGATAATTGATCTTCTCATAAGAATGACTGATTACCAGTCTTTTGACGATATATTTCAAATTGTTGGTTTCGTGTTCAGTTTTGGATAGACAAATGTAGTGAGATAATTTTCAGTAGTGAGGGATCTTTGAAAGAGAAAAAACTATTGAATTGATAACCGCTGTTTGTGTAACGCATCGAGCGAGTTTGCATGCCTGGCAGAATTTACCCACAATGCTCTGTGCGTCATTAGCCGTGACCCGGTAACCCGGAACGTATTTCATTCACCAAAATCTGTGCACCCCCCCCCGCAGCCCTGTTGGGGCGCTGGGCGACGAGCAAAACGCGCTTCGAAACTGGATTGCATGCCTTCATGGGTGTGACCAGAGAAAGATGCCGTTCCGACACTATGCCCCTGACCAGAGAAGGGCAGGATCCCGAGAAGCCAGCCAAATGCCCACATCCAAGAGGTGCATTGGCCATACGCGAAAGCAATCAGGGTAAGTTTGCGGACAAATACGGGGTGCTGCGGCCCTGATGATTCGTCTGGTGCCCAGACATCATTTCTCGTGACTGATTGTGTGTGTGCTTCTGTTTGCGTCACAGAATTAAAGCTGCAATCGAATGGGGAGGGGGGTGGCGGTCAATTTTTGAGGGCCTAATAAACACACGAGTAATGAACAAAAATTGTTTTGCTTTTATATCTCATTATACGTATATTAATCACTTTATTTATCAACTGAAAATTGGCTATGACAAATTTTGGCAGTCTGCGCCCTTGCGCCCTGCGCTCTTTAATATAACAAAATGTCTTTTACTTCACAAGGAAACTAGTTCTTTATAGAATGATAAAAACATTGCTATCAAAAACAGAACATAGGCTCTGATCAACTTCTATAGCTTTGACGTTCGTTTGGAGTGGTCTCCAGTGAATGGATGACAAACACAAATCAGTAACATTTTTGGATGACAAAAGTAAATCCGTTCTTGGGGGTAATGACACTTATTTCGGAAGATCATTAGTTCCAAAGCTTCCCTTCCTGCTTTAGACCACGCCCACCAAACGTCTCATTCAGGTAACAGACACTTGCACATCGACGTACCAGGATGGAACATTATTTTATTTCAGATTTTAATGCCGAAGAGTAAGGGCGAAAACGTACATTCGGACTGTTTTTGTATAAAAATATCACAAATTTCTAATACGGCTTGGCCCCGCGTCTGTATTACAAATTACATTTTCTTGACATTATCATCTACAAGGCCAAGTCTCATTAATCATTAGATTCTTTCCAATTCACAGTGAAAAGGATCATGTTGTCATGAATATAGCAATGTATTTCTTTGGTATCCCATTTGAAAAGTTCTTCTACTGCAAGAAGAAACCAGTAAGGAATTTAGGATTAGGTTGAATTGTCTTCCTTCGGTTCGAGATAATGAGGCCACCGACGTATCTCAGCGTACAGCGTATCTCCCGGGCAGGACGTGGGGCCAAGTTGACGTACGTCCCGGTGGCCACGCAGCACGTACCGGTCGGTGAGGTAACCCAACTGGACCCCGCACTCCGTCAGCTGATGGAACACCTTGAGTACACCCGGACTTGGCTGTTGTTGAAAAGAAAAGTGCTAGAAAATGAAGCACCGATGTAGTCCTTTGGATATGGAATCATGCGGATTCTGTGTGGGGCCTTACTGTTCATTTTGTAGATCAGAAAGGGCTTCCCGACTCCGCTCCTAAACCACCATCGTTATGAAATTTAAACAGGCTAATTTTGAGAATGGCAAGTTCTCAAGCATCCCCCTTATCAACATTAGCTTCAAACATTTCACAAAAAAATGGAAGGATGGCCTGGAAATTCCCCACTGAATTTCTTAATCCGAATATTCAATTAATTATCGAATATTCGAATATTATTTTCCAAATTTGACTGTTCGAAAGCAAAATTCATGAAAAGGAAGGGAGAATTTTTGTTTTAAATGAGAAAAATCACACTATGGAAGCTTGTTTCAAGCAGATTCAAATGAAAAGCGACAAAATGATATATGAATCAGTAAATTATTCATTAAAAATTTAAAAGGAATAGAAATTTTCAACAGGCCAAGAAGTATTGCTCGTATGATAATTCTTGCTAAATCGTTGCTGGAGACAGTCCTAAAAGTGGGAAGCTATTATAGTGATTATAATGTACAATTGTGTGCGTTATTGCAACTGAATTTGTATATGGTTTGTTCATAAACAATCTGATGAATCTATCCGAAAATTCGGATATTCGATTGAACTGGAAGTCGAATATTCGAATAGTAAAATATTCAAATTGACTCAGCCTTAGGTGCAGCAGGTGGCGAAGACGAGAAAGAGGAAAGATGTTATACAATGATGAAAAAGGACGGAAGGACATTTACATACAAGAACACTGGTGTAGTTGCCGATGATTGCGATGCCTTGTGAGTGGTGGTTGAAATACACTGATCCGGAATGTGCACCTACGGTGTCCCAGCCGCGACCCATGTAGACCCTCTCGTCACCGCCAATGACCAAATTATAACCAATGTCATCCCAACCTGGAAACATTTATGAAGAACATTGCAAATGAGCGGTTACGTTAACTTTACTAGACAATAATTAGGCATCAGCTGGTCCACTCGCTTCCAGTATAGGCCTATACGCGGGACGTGTTGTGTGCGTCGGTCCATACCTATCAACATTGGCCGGGGTGTAATTGACATGAGCGATATCACTGATCAATCTTGACCAATAGTGACGATATCGACAGCAACACGATGATGAAATTAATCACGACGACGATGATGTTTTCATACACAACCATAACGTGTTTCGCTGATAAGTTCACTGTTGTTACGTTCTCGTTGTTTTCAGCGGAATTACGAAGAATGATCCTTCTGACTACTAGTTGACCTTTGACCCAGGTCCAAATTCATTATTACACTGTTCTCACTGTTGCAAGCGGATTAAAAAATACCTCTGACTTGCATGTGCAACTTTTGGAACTTCCTCATATCTTCGGAGCACTCCTTAAGGGAATGGCATTGTGGAGTGTCGGTGTGGTGTAGGACAGTGTAGTCCACAGGTACCGTCATCTCCACGCGGCTCTTGGGGGGCTTGGCCTTCCATTGGGCCCGCGTGACGAAGGTTAGGTTCCCGCACGGGGAGTCTGGAGGGAAGGGTGAGATTGGTTCATGCTCAATATGGATTTAAGGATACCAGGCGCGGATCCAGCCGGGAAGCCCTCGTTTATTGCCATTTTTGTCTAAAGGCTGGAATAGCTCGTAAAAAGCATGCATAAAGCACGTAGAGGTCTGATATTGCGTGTATGGTTAAGCACAAACCAAAGAGATTAAATGGCTTCACCAAAGGCGACTACGTGTAGTTCCCCCCCCGCCTTCCTCGGAAAACATTCCCCCCCCCCGCACAAATCCTGGATTCGCCCCCACATGCTGAGAATCGCAGGGAACACCGCTATGCTAATACGAATAATGATGAGCCATAAGATTATTCAAGTGTATCTGACAAAGAAGCGAGGAAAACAAATAGCAAACAGTATGTCGTGGTCATGAGACAGTGTTTTAGGCTGTACAGGTTACATGCATGAACAAAAGAGGGCGTCAACATTTATTTATAGCAGGCAGCCAACAAATAATAGAATAGAGTCTAACGTATCCCGTCGCGACGGGGCGCGCCATTTGTGGCCGTGGTGGAATCAGTTGGCTGTGACTTCCGTAATTACATAGTCTCTAAGAGGGAAAGGACAGCTTGAACTATATAAGGACGGAGGGGGATGGGTCAACGGGGATCACTGCCCTCCCCGAAAGGTTCAACTTGAGAAATCGATTTTGGGAACTACTTCATTTCATTTCCTTCCAAAATGCGTGTAAAATTTTAGTCTATCTCCTCGGGGAGGCCACAGGTTACGTCTAAAAATTTCCAAATTGTCCCCCCCGGAAAGAATTGGCCCAATCGAAAAATTAGTTCTGGATCCACCCTTGAAATTATACCAGTAATATCATGTATAGCATCAAAATTACGGGCACAACAACCGGCGCATTTTTAAAAAAACGAACCAGACCAGACGTGACCGGACGGGCCGTGAGAGTCGTGGAGTCTGTCCCCGTCGTATCTATTAATACTTCCCCCCGAAACACCAATAAAAACCACGTTTCTATACACCTTTACATGGGGTATAGCTTTGCTTGCAGCAGATGGAGCTGAATTTTATTTGAGTGTTAATTTACAGGGCAACAAGTACAAACATTTCCAATAATGATAATTGACTGTTGTGAAAACTGAAGTCTTGTCCAAGCCTGTCAGCTAGCTTGCGAGTTAAATAAATGGCCACTGGACTGAAAAAAAACCCACACTCGATGAGTGAAAGGGAAAACATGACTGCGTAGCTACTAGCAAGCCATTAATACGTAAATTGACATTTCTCTGACCTAACGTAAATTAAAATTGACTGCGCAAAGTCGCAAGCTAGAATGCCTATTTTCAGCTCCTTTCAAGGAAGTTACACATGCCTTCCTTTGCAAAGTCACATCGCCCTCTATATATACTGTAGTTATACCCAACATTTCGTCGATTATTCATTGCATGCTTAGTCAAATTTTGCCTGCTGAACAACCGCAACCCAGGCAAAGAAACTTTCCCTCTCATAGAAGTTTCCATTGTCTGACTTGAAAAGACTTGCAAAGTCCTAAGTGTAGGTATGCGAATAGATGCTTCAAAAAAACCTACCGGCAGCAGCATTCTTCATCGCTTCATCGTCTGACATTTTCCCAAATGCAGCATGACACACAAGTACGCCCACTACAGCTAAGGAGATTAAGCCCATCTCAAACCTGCAACCCAGGTCTTGCGAAGACAGGAAAATACAAGCTGAACGCTAACAGTTCACGCTGATAGAAGGTAAGTTCCTATGGTATCAGCCTTGCGAGTAGATGCCCTCACCAGCCTCGTTCTTCTGGAAAGTCCCAGTAACAATAACGCAATGAGGAAATACCTTGTGTCAATGTACAGTTTCACCACAGCAATGGTTGTATTAAAGCTGCACGTGCATTATGATTGTGTTGCTCAGCGAAGCGGCCCTTTGACCCCCATGTTCAATGAACCAGACTACAGCCAAGTGTTGACGGTGACGTTCATAATTTCCTTTGTCAAAGCAAATATTGATGTCAAGCCCAACGTGCGTGCAAAGTGCTTCCCTTTTAATGGATACAAAGTGCTTTTAAAGCGAAAACATAGTCCGTGTACAGTGGGGTTGTACAGGTGGTTGTTGTGGGTCACATCAAGATAGGCAATACTGACGGCGCCTGTCGCAATGAACTACAAGTTACATTTAAGATCCCCATAAATAGCCTTGGACTAAGACAGGCAACTGAAAGATAACATACAGAAATGCTCACATTTTGCCCCCAGGGAAAAAATGGACCTCCAACTTTTGGACCAATGTTCTGAATTCGCCTTTACCCAACTAGTTTTTTTTTGTCCAGAGGCCTCTCTATATGTTTCCAGCGTGGCATTATTGACAGATAACGTTTTGGTGATTGAGAAAATTCCCAGCATAACTCTGTATGAACACTTTGGGGCTAAAGACACGTAACCATGAGGTGGTTATGGCCCCAAATGTCATTATGAAAGTTATGAAACCAAGCCCAAATATATTCGGGTTTAAATTACAGCTGTCTACTGCAACAGAGACGATAAAGCATGCATTCTCTTTACTTTAGATAAATGAAGATTTTATTACATGTCACGTGGAGAAAACTAAAACCTATAAAATTGATTTCTATTTTAATTGAATTAACGATATAATGAAGGATCAGTTTAAAATGCATAGGTGTATAAGCTTTAAGTGCCCTTGACATACATTATCAACAAATCTCTGCTTGATTCAGCAACTGCGTACTTTTTCAATCTCCACGAGAGCAACGGAGTAATCTCCAGATCCTATCCCACCCCCCCCAAAAAAATCAAAACAAAACGATAGCTGTGTAACTTGACGGCAGAATGAAACCCCCCCCGACTGTTTTGACAAGATAAAGAGATCTTGCAGTAAGTGTTGTTTGCTTCACATGGCAACATGGTAAACTTGTATTAGTGACCTTTGGCAAGTTCGCGTCGACAAAGGCAGATCCAGAGAGATCTTTGGGAAGAAAGAGACACAGAATAGAGAAAAAATTGCCTTTCTCTCATACCTTTAAATTTAAAATATTTAGCTCTGTTTCGTATTGGGAGAAGGGTATGGCCCCCTTTACCCCCGGATCCGCCCTTGCACATAGATTCGAAACAAATCTCTTTTGACGAACAGAGCACATGTATATGATGTATATGCCCATAAAAAGACCAATTCTCACGTTCTTTCTTTGCAAGCTAAACCTGCATGCATAATTCAAAATCAATATTTTCGAACAGAGATTAAGACATAACCACATCTGAAAAGCTGCTCTGTTTTCTAAAACAGGCCTTTTTGCTGATAAGAAGAGCAAGACTTCAGTATTTGGTCGATTTGTTCGCCTTTGGTTCGAGGTAGTGAGGCCACCGACGTATCTCAGCGTACAGCGTATCTCCCGGGCAGGACGTGGGGCCAAGTTGACGTACGTCCCGGTGGCCACGCAGCACGTACCGGTCGGTGAGGTAACCCAACTGGACCCCGCACTCCGTCAGCTGATGGAACACCTTGAGTACACCCGGACTTGGCTGTTGGTACATTGAAACAAACTGGAAGTACTTACTTGATGATATTAAAATGACATCCCTTGATGGCTTCAACGGGAAAGTGACAATCCGTTCAACATGACCTCAATAAATTGGAATTGAATTCGGATCGTCATCACAAACTTTTAAAGTAGAAATATGAACAAAAGGATTCATCCCGGCGGTGTATCCAGCTTTTGGTGTGTGTATGGGGGGCATTCAACAGCGAATGCGGCTTCTGGCTCATTCAGCATGATGTGCGGGGAGAACATAAAACCAACACCTTACGGTCCAGATATCCTTGCTTTTCACATTGTGGTGATGTTTTCTTCTGGTGTTGATTACTTTCTTTAATACTCAAAGTATTTTTAACACAAAAGGGAAAAGGTGAAAACAAAATCCGTGAATGGGCGGGGGGTAGGTTTCCTCCCTGCCCCCCGCTGGATAGGCCACTAATTCATCCTCGATCCTGTTTTGGTTGCGAGAATTTCAACCACCTTCAGAAAATATCTATTTCTGAAGGAGCTCCTTGTGTTTCTTAAACAAACCACCGTGAGCCATCCATCTTTCGGGGATTAAAAAAAAAAGTTTGAATTTATTTTTGAACGAGGTGGAACATAAAGTGCTCCATACCAACAGGCTGGTGTAATTTCCGATGATAGCAATGCCTTGCGAATGGTGGTTGTAGTACCATGACCCAGCATGCGTTCCAACGGTGTCCCAGTCACGCCCTATGTACACTCTCTGGTCGCCTCCAACAACGAAATTGTATCCGATATCGTCCCAACCTAGAGAAATGGGAGAGTTATAAGAGTCCCACCCGACTACGCTTGTCGTTTTTCACTGGCCTTGGGGGGCATACACTGAGTATACAGTGTTAAATATACACGTCGGGCAGGGCAAAAAAATCCAAAATTAATACAGAGAGTTGTGCTGTAAGCTATACTTTTACAGGAAAGAATTTTCACCTCTGGTATTAATTAAAGTGGCTGTCCAACCACACCATCTCCGAAATCCGCCATTTGATACCTCTCCAGGCGGAAATTGGCAGAATTTCTGTTATAACACACGCCGGAGTTCATAGACTTGACTCAAGTCGGGACCTCCTGTGACGTCTTGTTTTTCTGCTTAGGGTTGCACTACACAAAATAGGCGCACATAGAAAACAGTGTAAAATCGGACCGAAATAGCACATCCGTCTGTTGACTCTCGTGAAAGGTTGGAAATTCAAGATTATGGGCAGAAGATTACTTTTCGTTTCAATTTCATGGGGGTTAACCACAAACGCTTTTGAACGAAGACGCCCCCAAAACAGCAATGAAACAAAGCGCTCATTTCTGAATGTAGCCACCCGCCTCTATCCAAAATAGGTCGGCAATTTGGGGCTTTTGTGAAAGAAATACCCCGAACTGGAAACTATCAGTCCCACATTTGGGATTTGTAAAAATATTTCTACGATGCTTCCTGATTATGGCCTGTCTTATTCTAAAATCTCGTGGGGTTACAAAATGTTAATGAGCTCGCGCGCAGAAATACAACCATTTGGTGGGATGCACCCTTAGGATTTGGAGGCCACGCGTCGTTACTTGCTTCGCGCCCTCTTGTGTCCACTTACTACTGTGAGTTCAGAAATCCTGACTTGACTGCGAATCTGCCAGCCGTTTGTACACAGCGAATCGGCTCATCTACCAACACAGGTAGCATCCAATCAAATTGCTGGACGTGTTTTGGCATCGTTCATACCTCTATTATAGTGAACAAGTCTACAGGTCTGATTACTTTGATTGGTGGAAATTCCGTTTACATTATGCGAGATCCATCGTTCATATGCAATTACGGATAACTGCAAATCATCGACCGGGGGTCTGATTGGCATATCAGTTCAGTCGGACTTACTGACTTGTGACACTCGTTGTACAACCTTTGACGTTGACGCCCGACGGTGTACTACACGTTATGTGAAGGGTTGGCTGACTGGGGAAGATCAACGTTAAGTCCGACACGATTCAAGTCTAGAGTTCATTTGGCAATGGGCATGATCAAGCAGCGGTCGGCATATCAGACAATCAGTAATGTGCGAGGACGGTTTCAAGCGTGTCTAAAACCCGGAAGTTTGTGAAATGCCTCATCCTGGGGGCGTGCTGGTGGATATGGGTACAGAGCTCTTTATAGAGAGAATTGCGACATGAGTTTCTCTATCGTATGTTGAAACCATAATTGTGGAAATGCATCAGTGCACATTTTACAATAAGCACACAATAGCGGCATGCTGTACTGCACATTATAATATACAGCTATTTTGGTTCCAAAGTCTGAAGTTGCAATGGCGCTACTCTCTCTATGTACAGCTCTGTACGGGTAGACACCGTCTAAAGACTTCAGCTGATTACTATTACCGTAATATTCTTAAAGGTTTCGAAGGGTTGAAAAGTTACCTCTGTCTTCCATGTGCCACTTCTGAAAAATCCGCATGTCCTGGGAGCACTCCTCGAAGGAATGGCATTGTGCAGTGTCGGTGTGGTGTATTATGGTGTAGGCCACGGGTATCAGCATCACAGTGCGTCTCTTAGGGGGCTTGGCCTTCCACTCAGCCCGTGTGACGAAGGTTAGATTCCCGCAAAGGGAGTCTAGTTGGAAGGGTAGACAGAGTTGGTTCAGGAAAATAAAAGCAAAGGTGTTGGAAGGTGTGCTACGAAGCGTGCAGGGTGTCCTACTCGGTGGCAAAATCTCTTTGTAGAAAAGAGCCACTCTCTATTTCAGCTCTGAATCGAAGTACGACTTTGAATGCTACTACTCATCTATTCTCCTGTTGCTCTCGGGATATGGACTGACAACCTCCCCACGCCATGAGCGCATGCGCACATGACAAAAATTATCAGTTACAGAAATGGGTGCCATCCATATCAAAGCTAAATGGCGCAATAGAACAGTATCAATGGAATCCTCAATGGAATCTTAATGTCCTATCCTAAATTTGTTTCTTATTTTCACATACGTTTTAGGGCTTTTATAATGTTAATGCAGATTTCCACATTGATGAGGAAAACTGTGACGTCTCTTGGGCAATATCTACTGTAGATCGAGCTCTCTGTTGGTTTTACAACTGGACAACTTGCACCATCCTATACGTCTTCGTGATACTATATGTAACTCCTATCACCCTAGGCTCCATGTGTATCCGGTGTGGCGATCTCAGCTGTCTCCCGGTCTCAGCGGTCCCCCTTACCAAATATGGTAAAAATACGTCATGCCATCTCTGCGCACTACAACGGGAGAGTGGTCAGTTTAATGTCCGGCTATTCAAGGGGGACCGCTGAGACCGCCATCAAGAGAAAATGCGTGTATAGGCCTACCAGTTGTAGGTACTGTACAACACAAGACAAACGCATATCGGTGACGGACTTACCTGTATTGGTATGTTTGACCACCAGTTCGTTCGCTGACCTCTGCCTTGCTGAATAGGCGTCAATTCGGATGGAGAGGTAGACTACAGCTACCAAGGCTAACCAGACGTAGCCCATAGTGGACGTAGATATGTTGCCTAGCATTCAATGGAAAACACACGCTGATTTTCGTAATTTGTTTGCAGCAGGAAGTAGGTCTCTCTAAATGGCGACCCTTCCTGTTTGGCGAATTCCCATTTCGTATTAACGTGACAGGAAAGAACAGAGCATGAACAGCGACCTCGCTGAAGGAGAGAGTCTGACAAAAGCAGCTGTTCTGAAAATAATCATCACAGAATGTATTTGCCCCTGCGAGTCATTGTTGTATGCGAGTTGTGTGGGACGATGACCTTTTTTCAAGATGTATTTTTGCGTTGGGGAGATGTTAATTATATATAACGGTTTTTGCCCTAACCCAACGTATATTAA